GTAATATTTTACACACTTCCTTTCTATTCTAGGAAACGTTTAATACCCCCTTGTCTAGACTATAAAGTGTCCACATGCAGTTTGGAGGCCATCAGAGGTGTTTTCCTCTATTATGGCCAATTGTTTGCATCTATATCCCTGATTCCCTTCACAGATGTGTTTTTGACATTACTCATTAATGCACTGGAAGTAACCTTGCAGATGATGTGGGCTGTGAGTCTCTGAATTATTGAAATAAATTGAGATGCAGCACAAATGTGAAGCGTGCCGTATGCATGTTTATCTTAGTGTGTGGACCGGGATGTGGGTATTTGGTTACATTAATATTAATAATGTTTTTCCCCTTCTTTCTCACACACACACACACACACATCCTGCGTCTCAGCTCACACTTGGCTTATCAGTATGAAAGTGAAGATAAAAAAACGTAGCTGCCAAAATTCAGAGAAAAAAAAGATCAAAGCCAAAAAATACACATGACAGCTGACAGCGAATGCAAAACTTCAAAAAGCCTCAATGAAGCTCTGCCCAGTGGCTTCATTTGCCCTTTACGTTCAGTGTAAAGCCTACAAGTTTGTCTTTCCTCATTGCCCGAATGTGTGCCATCAGCATCTCTATAGTGCATAGAAAACGAGAGGTGCAGGGTTTGAAAGGGATGAACTGCCAGTGTGAATTAATGCTCATTTGCTAATGGGTCTGCCTTCACCCTGAGAGCAGCTGGGGTCGATAAATCAGCTGCTGCTGCACTGCAGCGTCATTGCTGCAGTCACCACTGCTTTATGGGCATATCCCAATGCCAGTTTGGCACACGGCATATCCGCAATTGTGAGATAGAAAGAGAAAAAGAACTGCTGTTGTAAGTGTCTGGCACTTTGCAGCAGCATTAAGCATCTCAGCGGGATGTGAGGGATGAGAGAGTGAGCGAGAAAGCCGGAAAGAGAAGGATGTCTGAGTTTATCTCTACAATCTCCCACATGACGGGTTTTTACTGCCACATGCAGATGCACAAGTGAAAGCCTTCAATATTTCCTTTCATCTTTTTTTTAACCCTCTTGAACTCGTCCCTGAAGAGATTTTATAGCAGGGGGTCAGACTGTGTGCTGTGAGACATGATATCCTGCACCCTACAGCTGTGCGACCATATGGAGCATCTTCAGGGCACAACATGGAATCTGTCTAAAACCCCTTTATTAAAATCGCTGCACGCTTTGGAGCTCATGTACACTTTGTCTTCTTATCAACTGCAGCGTTTGGCATTCTGGATGGCCATTTCAGTCAAGCGACCTGAAATGAGGCTTAAAATGTTGAGCGGTTTAGTCAATGTGTGTGCATGTGTGTTCGTGTAATTAGTCAGCAGCAGCCGGTTGAACAGCAGGCCACCTGCACATGAAAAGCAGAGGCACACCTGTCTCTACGGGGCCTGTTCCTTCCAATGAGACCCACTCCATGATGCTGGAGACCTCGCAGACAGAACACACACACACAAATGAAAATGAAAGACAATTATTGTAAAAAATAAAAAAAATGTTTTTATTGTTATTTTCCTCATCTGATGTTTTTAGTTCAGTAAGTATTTAGGTTTTTAAAATGGGGTTCACAAACCACCAAGAGGGGGGATTGTGATTGAAATGGCAATATTGGATTAAATGTAGCAATAAAAAAGTAATACTATTACTACTAATAAATATACTGTAAACGCCAAATATATACAAAATGCATTATATTTTCAAAGGTTATCTTACAATCTTAATTTAAAATATCTGTAAAAATAATTTTTTCGATTGGAAATAGTTTATTAAAATATGATTTACAAGAAAATATTATTTCAGTATTTCTACTTCAGAATTTCTTTGTAGTGGTTTGTAAAATTTCTTAGCAATTTCTGAGTGAAAATTGTATCTATACATTTTTTTAGTGTTGTAGCGTCTCGACCAATCTGACACACTAATTTTTATTTGATTTAACAAATCAATTATTCATTAGATTAACAAATCGTCACAGTCCCCTCACTATACATCGTGTGTGTGTGTGTGTGTGCAATGATCAATTACTGTATATTATTACAAATATTAAAAATATATTTTACTACAGAACAGTGCTATTGACCAATGAAAATTTCAGCTGTATTAAACGTTACAAATATTGCATAAATATTTATGATTTAAAAAAAACCCAGTGTAATTGAAGTTCTGAAAAACTGTGTGTGTTTCTAAGGAACTGTGCATTCTTGGTATTATTGCAGTCAATGTCACAAGAAAGGAAATGCAGTATTACCATGGAGACCTCTTTCAGCTGCTTGGATACCAGAGAATTTAAAGCTAAGTATATGACAGAGCTGTCTGACAGCGAGTTGGATGCCTACCTATCACACCACACATTAAAAAACATTCACACATTCACTGAATACATCACAGGTTTGTCAAATCCAACCGTCACAAAAGTGTTTCCACAGCATTACGGAACATAGAGCATATGACTGATAGCTGTTCAATAACAGACTGACAGGACGTCCTCACAGGTTTATAGAATATTAAACCTTAATCCCTAAAACACACGTGAAAGGGAATTTAAACTCCTCTTTTGTCATCAAGCCACACATGCCCATCTAAAAAAACAAAACTGTGGTCCTGAAAGGTCACTGCAAACAGATGGGACCCTGTTCACAGGGTGTAAGAGAGAATGAAGGATTAGGCGGCATTAGATACCCCAGAGATACTAAGAGATTTTTTTCTTTCACTGGAACCCATTCTCAAATCATGCTGGAGAACATGGTTTTACACACAGTTCCTACAGCTTGAGTGCTGCTGTCTAATAAACTAAATGTAATAGAAATCTTCCTTGTGCCAGCTATAAAGTGAAGGTTTGTTCAGAGGTGCAGTATAGCTCCAGTCGTACGATACATTTGATGCTAGATTTCTGACCGCGCTGGCAAAACACAATTTGCATCAAATGTCCCTAATCACACCCTGCCAGCACTGTCACTGTCACACACCTGCTTATGACCACCCACTGCCCATGTGAACTTGGACCTGGGCAACGATTTAATTTGTGATTCTCAGTCACATTTGATAAACATTAAAGTGTGAATTATGATTTCATGCCAGGGACAGACTGCGAGTCTCTTTATCCTGCTGTTCTGTTTGCATTATGTATGTTCACCAGTCCATCATCAGTCTATGTTAAAAAGCTCTGGACACATTTGGGAACACATTTGATTTTAACAGTAGGATTTTCACTGTGAACGCATTCAGGTCATCTCCAGGACATGAGGAAAGAGGATCTCCAGAGACTCTAGTCACTTAAGCCATGGACTGCTCTCGCTGCTTCCATCAGGCTTCAGGTCACGCATCAGCAGGCTGTTGAATTACAACATCAGATAGCATTATATCTGAACGCAAGCCAACATCTCGGCACTGCACTGTATTCAAAAAGTCATACTCCACTGAATAAATAATGCTATTTATTATTTCCTCATCACAAACATTATTAACCTAATTACTGATTTTCTTATTCACATCATGCTCCATCTGTATAACTATAATATTTATTCAGTCATTTGCCCAGTGCATTCTACATTGTATTGGCTCTTAAAGAAAAAGTTCAACTAATAATAAAAGTTCTGGCATCATTTACTCTCTCGTGTCATTCCAAACATCTGTGACTTTCTTTCTTCCATTTAACACAAAAAGATCTGAATGATGTATTTGCAGTGCTGGGTAGTAATTGAGTACATGCAAGCTGGGTTACGTAATCAGATTCCAAAAATGTAGTACTTGAAATTAAAGTATATTACATTTTAAAATGCTTGTAATCAGATTATAGCTACTTTTTATGGATTACATGATTACATATTACATATTATTCACACAGTGGCAATAAATTATTCCTAACTAATTGATTCTGGAAGCCTGGACAAAAATATTTAAAACCTGGAAGACTTTGAGTGTTTTCATGTTTATTAATGTGTGTTTAATACAGGGATTCCCAAACATTTTTGTCACCCCTTAAAATAAAATATTTGTTGAAATATCACAGAAGTAGTTAATAGTTCAATAATTTAACAACACATTTGCAGGTTTACAGTTATCTGATGTTGGTTAATGGTCACATTGACATCCAGGTAAACAAATACAATATGTATATTTTTAGTGTTCAAGTGTTTAAATTGCTTTTATTTTACATTTTTATGATTGAGTTAATTATTAGGTTTTTATCAACTCACTATTCACTCTCTATCAACTCACCAATGTAATGTTTAATGCATTTTATGATGTTGACATCAAATCATGGAACATATTTTCTTTCTTTTGCTTTTTTATATCAATATGAAACATTTAATGGTACGTTAAAAACAAGTTTGATTAAAAAAAAGCAATCTAAAAGTATAAAAAGTAGTCAGATTACATTACCTAAAATGAGTAACCTAGATTACTACTATTAGTTAATAACTAGTTTTCTTCATGTAATCTGTAATCAGTAATGGACTGCAATTTGTAAACAGGCCTAATCTACTACCCAGCTCTGACTATTTGCCATTTTCCTTGCAGTCAGAATGATTGGGGACTGGAGTATTCAAACTTAGAAATTCACACAAAAGCAACATTAGCCTATAATAAAAGTAGCCTATATGACTTGTAGTCTGCTTTGTACGAGAAACAGGCTGAAATATATCATAATGACTAATACATTTCCCATCCAGTGAGTTGTTAACCGTTGTGTGACAACGAGTTGAACCGAATTTTAACCTAATCGTTCAGATAATTTCCCGTATAGCCTTAACAGATCAACTGATTCACTGTAAACAATCGACTCAAGAACGATGCCTAGGCCAGGGAAAAATCCCTCCTCAATCAAAATTAAAAAATGTGGACTCAGTGACTCCAAAGTAATTTGCATGCAATATACCCAGCAATGCATAATCCTATATCGTCTAACTTCGGTTTCAACAGGTTTGTTTCATTTGTGTGCTGTTCTCATAAACCGAGTAGTGCACTCTGGAGGGCTAAGGGGCTCATGACGTGCAAGTTTGATCCTTAGATATGATAACAGGCCAAAAACTAATCTGAGATCCCAGAAAGAGGTAGGCAACCTGTCGGAGCTTTACATCTGTGTCTGGCGTCCCCTCAGCTGTTCCTCCCTCTCTTATACAAGGATTACAAGTGGCTTTCAATGAGCTCGACTTCACTGCGCTCGCGAGCCGCTGTACGCAGACCCACGCGCTCTTGACTAGACAAAGACAATGAGCTGTCACACCTTTCAAATGAATCCTATTTGTTCGGAGTCAAAGAAATGCTGAAAGGAAAGTCCAAGGAGCGAAAAATCGATCTGTTGTGCTGTAGGAAACCGCTGCTGGAACAAGACTACCTGTGGGCACTGTAGTGAGGGTAACAAGAGCCAGGCAGCCAGCGGCGTTTTCAATCTACCGGCGAAACATACAACACACATTTATATGGCAAAGTTCCTCGCCGAGCTGCTGGGATGTACACTGCCCGAGAAAGGAGCATCTCCAATGTTCGAGGTAAGATTAAAGTCTGTTTGTTTTCATGTTACCAGTGTCACAGTGTTAGACCAAGCATTTCATTATCTGATATCTTCACATGTTTAATATGTTACAGTGATTTGTATTGGTTTACTTACCGTTTAATTAAAGCAGCGCTTGTAGTTATTTGATTGTTTAAGCTATTAAAGCGATGCTCAGTTATTGGAGGCAGATTGGTACCTTCACATCAGTTTGTTAATGCTGCTGCCACACAATGGGTGGCCACCTGAGCATTGAAATAATGGTTAAAGCTAATAAAATATGTCCTTTTTACATAAACAAATACTACATAAGATGATGACCATTTTGATGTATAAAATAGTGGGTGAAGATGGACATGAAAGCTAAATCTTCAAATTTTGATGGAAAGGAGTCAGCCTTGATGTCCTTAAGAAGCTTTTACAGTGTGTATTTGGGTCAGTGTGTCAGGGGAAATTCACCTGAAATACTAAATTCACTGCAAATCGTGATGCTAAGTGAACTAATATGAAACCTGCATAAATCAGTCCGATTCTTTTCATTTACAGATGCTTTGCAATGTCCTTCAACTGGGCAGTAAATGCATTATGAATTTAAATGCATCAATGTTCTATCCTGTCTTTTTGTAAAGCATCACACGTGTGCATCTTTTGAGGGTGACATATTCACTTTCTCATGAAAATATGTTTGTTCGGATGATTTGTTCATTATGTCAGCTGCTGCTTGGCTTAATTTACTTTATAATCACCCAGATCAAGCTATTTCAAATCAGTGTTTGTGAGCACCAGCTGAATCCATGCTTTCAATTATCTATTGCTGATGGCCATAATCGGTCTGTAATGGCAGATATAGTGAGTGAAGGACAACTGCAGCACAGTGGTGTTGAGGGATTAGTGCTGGGCCATTATATAAGAGAATATATTCGGTTTGGATCTGCACAAAGCCATCAGATCTGCCTTTGCCTCTAATCTCATGAGTTCACCATGCCTTTCTTCCCCATGTGTTACTGTGTGTGCATATTTGAAATGCTCTGTCTTTTGTCCTGTTGTTTTGCATGTATCTTAACTGAGCTTTTAACTTTCAAACATTTGATTAGGGTACATTGTAAGAATAATAGGACTACAGAGCTGTTTTCTATTTCAGGTTTAGGTCTGTTGAGTGCAGGTTGTTTTTATTTGGGTTTTAGGTGTTTTGGTTAGTTGGGGTTAGAGCACTGGTTCTCAACCAGGGTGCCGGGGCCCACTGGGGGGCCTCAGCAAGCTTCCAAGGGGACACAGGGTGATTTTACAGTCATTTAATTATAGATAATTGGAAATGAAGTAAAACAGATTTTGTAAACAGATTTCGTTTTTCCCATTAATAATGTTTTTAATTATTGAAAAACGTACAGATTCAGAATCTTGAATGTTGCAGAATAGTACTTAGTTAAAAATATAAACACTCCCCATTTCTTTCAATAAAAAAGTTTAAAAACAAGCAGTGTTGACATGATTACAGCACAAAATCTTGAGAAAATATCAAATAATGTGTTGGCAAACACAGGTCTACGCAGAAACCAAACGATAATTATGGCTCAGAAGACAACACGATGCTGTGCAGTCCCAACCAAGTTGTGGAAAAACACAGTCTTTGCATTGCCTTTCTTCTGATGCAAACATTAGAAAAGAGTGGATGAACTTTATTTTTAAGGAAGTCCCAGATGGCATCTGTAAGAACTTTGTCCATTGTTCACTTAATTTTACGGCGGATTCGTTTACAAACAAGGCACAATTCGATGCAGGATTTTCAGAGAGATTGAAAATAAAAGACGATGGCGTGCTGACTAAATTGGACCCGATGTCGCACCACACAAGTGTGAGTAACTGTTTTTATTATGTGGTCACTATTGCTGTGTCTGTTATTACAGATCGTTTGATATGTGCTGAGTATTTATGCATATTTAACTTGAATCGCAGCAGCATCCATCTAGGAAGGATGTAGGCTGTCAAACATTCACAACTGTTGGCCAATCACACCAGTGGGTGTTTACTTCCGCATCTACAATCTGCCACACCTATTCAAATGCAGCGTTCTGATGAGGGGGATCAAAACAGGACAGAAAACATTACCTCTAAATTATGCTTTTTTTGATGTCAAAATCTTGATAACATTAAAAGTAGACCACAGAGAACAGTACAAAACAATAAAAGAGGCAGTTCATGACCCTTGTAAAGTTTGCATGGTTTGTTGATTGTGTTTGTTTGTAGCTTACTTGGGTTCAGTTTAGTTAGTTTTAGGTTCAGTAAAGGAGTTGTGGCTGGTCAGATTACTGTGGTGTGGAGGGTGTAGGTGTTGAATGTTGAGTTGGCTCAGATCTGGTCCTCATTAGTGTCCTGTGGTTACTTGTTTGACACTCAGCATGAGATTGAGTCAGGCAAGGTGACCATGCATGCACACACACACCCACACATTGCCCCCCACATACACAGGCTGCTTGAATATAAAAATTATATCTAAAATCATTTACATGCAGTCTAAACCTTATTTCTGCAGGCATCCAAACCCAATTTTGATACATTCATAGCATATGTGACCCTGGACAACAAAACCAGTCTTACATCGCACAGGTATATTTGTAGCAATAGCCAAAAGTACATTGTATGGGTCAAAATTATTATATATTTTTCTTTTATGCCAAAAATCATTACTATATTAAGTAACGATCATGTTCCATGACGATATTTTGTACATTTCCTACCGTGAATATATCAAAACTTCATTTTTGATTTTGATGAATTGCTAAGGACAGTATTTGGATAACTTTAAAGGCGATTTTCTCAATATTTAGATTTTTTTTGCACCCTCAGATTCCAGATCTTCAAATAGCTGTATCTCAAATGCCAAATATTGTCCTATCCTAACAAACCATACATCAATTGAAAGCTTATTTATTCAGCTTTCAGATAATGTATAAATGTAAATTTAGAAAAATTGACACTTAAGACTGGTTTTGTGCTCCAGAGTCACATATTTTAATCAGTTTGAATCAGTTTTTATAGAATTTAAGCCCTTTTCAGGATTTTTTTTCTGAATTAAACTTATTAAATTGATTTTGTTGGAATCAAGCATTTAGATTAATCAGTGCAGTTCTCTGTATCTAAATTTTGTTCAAGGATTTATAAGGATTTCAGCAGGTAATAGTGTTGTCCCATGTCTGATCTAGCAAAGGGCATCATATAAGTCATCTTTTAAACATCTTCCAGCTGTTTGAAAGATGTGTAGAGTATAATAGCACCCAAACAAATATGTCAACTTCATACATGGATTTTGAGATATGGAGGGATGAGAAAAGTCCCATCCTGAGAGGATTTTTCAGTCAGAGGGCATATGCTCTCAGCTTCGCTTAATCAGAACCATGTCAGGTTGTCAGTGTTCTCGACAGGCCATTTCAGAGTGGATACTAAAGTGCTGCCAGCCAAAACGGAATCCATTTCTTCCCTTATACTGACAATTGCAAAATAATTGACTTGGCTTGTGTGAGATTTATTCAGCAATCTCTTTCATTTTCTCTGGAATGTTGCAGTTTTCTCTAAATCTAAAGCTGTTATATAGGTTTAAACACACTTTATGATCATTTTTGGTTTAATATGCAAATACGCAAAATTGCCAGTGTAGCTATTAGTTCTCTCAAAGCGCCTCCATTCATTCATTCATTCATTCAAAGCTAAAAGACAATTTTACTATTAATATAGATTTTTTTATTGAGTACATATTGATAGTGTAACAATTTTAGCATGAATAATCAAAGCATAGTATTTAAGTGTAGTGCAGAGATGAACTTTTATGTAGAAATGATTCACTTTCACTTTCACAGACTTTTACATTAAATGTTCCCTCCTGGTGGAATGACCTGCCCAACTGAGTCCTTAGCTACAAAAACCCTTGCTACATGTACTGCTTAAAGCTAACTGAGACTTGTTATAGCACTTGCATATCATTGCTCTTTTGTTGATTTTGATTGCTTCCGTTGTCCTCATTTGTAAGTCGCTTTGGATAAAAGCGTCTGCTAATTAAATGACTAAATGTAATGTAATGTAAATTATGTCGTTTTTTTTATTGTTACCTTTTTTCCTTCAGAACATTTTGGATGAACATTTCTTTTTCTCCTTGTGCTTCCACTGTGAGGCAGTGTTTAGAGAGATGTTCTCAAATGTGAGAACCAATGTTTGCAATACAGATTTTTGTGTGTGTGAATTTTTGTTGTTGTTTTGATGGAGTAATCTGCTTAATATGTTGGTTTCATGAAGAAGTGTCTAAAAGAAATGTGCTTCTTTATCTTAGCTTGGTTAGTTAATGAAAATGAGAACATGTGGTCAAGACTTCCTTCACAAAACTTACAGATCTCTGTGATCAGTGCATTTATTAGATGTGAGTTCTCAAGGATGTGGAGGTCACAGACAGATCCTAACCAGCATACGCAAGCAGAAAAGATTAGCCTTGCTCAGCATATTCCAGTTGTGGGTTTCTGTATATGTTTTAGGAATTACCTCTAAACAAAAATAAATTTACAGCAAGCTAACAAGACTTCCAGACAGTGGAAGCAAGTGACCTTTAAGATATCAAACTGTTCACAAATCATCAGTAAGAAATGTCACAGACTGTTTCATAAACAGAATATTCTACTTACAATGTCTATTGAATAAACAACTCAAGGGATTGTGAAAGATTTCATGTTTTTCTATAGTGAATGTTATATACTTACATTTCAGTGAAAGACTTCCGTGTGACTGATGTCAGTTTTCTCATGTGTTTGGGCATTGGAGAGAGATTTATGCTTGTTCCTCAGTCCTGACATGTTTCCTTGTCCTTCAATCATATTTAGAATTAAAGTGCCTAATTTTTAATGGATTTTTCACAACAGGAAAGTGAAGGCCAGACTCGAAACTGTGTATATTTTGTTGTTTTGGTCCTTTGGAGTTAGTGGCCTAGTAGAGCATTTAGGCACAGTCAGTTTTGTATGT